GTTAGGGACAAAGGAGGGCGAGGGTGAGAAAGAGGCAGATGGTACATGTCTGAAATTACTATGGTATGTTTGGTCTGCATTTTATTTTAGGTGATTTGACATTATTCCTCTCTTAAATTGTAACCAATATCTAACAATTGGTCTTAACATACCTTGAAATAAATATTCATATTTTACTACTGATTATGGTCTTCCAAAGCCAAATAAAATAAGATAAATCCTATCTGCAGTTCTGTGGTTTGAAATTGTTCTGTCTATGCCATATTGACACTCACTACAGCTTTGCATAATAGTGTGTAGGCTATGGTACGGCACTGTTGATTTAATTGCAATATTTAATTGCCATATTAGTGTAATAAGTAAGTAGCCTTGCCTGAGCCTTGGCTGTTTCTATAGAATGAGGCAGCTTGATGTACAAGTACACCCCCTGGAAAGGACACTAGTCTATCACAGGGCCAATGTACTGTAAGTGTAAGAAGACAGAATATGTCAGTCTGTTCTAGTCTGGTTTTAGGCATGTGAGGCAGATTTATGTTAGATTTCAACTAAAGGCAGTCAAGTAGGAACAGAGAAAAAGCTTTTTGATTTTTTAGCCACAGGGTGGCATCCTTTCTCTGGATAACATCCCCCAGCATAGACTTACACTGAGTGTACAAAACATTATGCTCTTTCCATGACATAGACTGACCAGGTTAATCCAGGTGAAAGCTATTGATGTAACCTGTTAAATCCATTTCAATCAGTGTAGATGAAAGGTAGGAGACAGGTTAAAGATGGATTTTTAAGCCTTGAGATAATTGAGACATGGGTTGTGTATGTGTGCCATTCAGAGGGTGAATGGGCAAGACAACAGATTTAAGTGCCTTTGAACGGGGTATGGTAGTAGGTGCCTGGCGCAACGGTTTGCACATGCTCAACAGTTTCCCATGTGTATCAAGAATGGTCCACCACCCAAAGGACATCCAGCCATCTTGACACAACTGTGGGAAGCATTACCGTCAACATGGGCCAGCATCCCTGTGGAACGCTTTCGACACTTTGTAGAGTCCATGCCCCTACGAATTGAGGCAGTTCTGAGGGCAAAAGGGGGTGCAACTCAATATTAGGAAGGTGTTCCTAATGTTTTGTACACTCAGTGTACAATCATAGACTCTGCACTAAGGAGTTGGTATAAGCATTCATGTCTCCCATGCAGAAACTTGTGTCTTTGTGAGGTCAAAGCACTATGCACAACATGGTGTGATGAATTGTAGTAGGCCTTTTTTGTCAGTCACACACAAGTGTTGGCTATTTTATTATCAGTCTACATTTTGCGACACACATGCATGTACAGTTGAAGTCGGAAGTTTACATACATTTAGGTTGGAGTCATTAAAACTCGTTTTTCAACCACTCCACAAATTTCTTGTTAACAAACTATAGTTTTGGCAAGTCGGTTAGGACATCTACTTTGTGCATGACATAAGTAATTTTTCCAACAATTGTTTACAGACAGATTATTTCACTTATAATACACTGCATCACAATTCCAGTGGGTCAGAAGTTTACATACACTAAGTTGATTGTGCCTTTACACAGATTGGAAAATTCCAGAAAATGATGTCATGGCTTTAGAAGCTTCTGATAGGTAATTGACATCGTTTGAGTCAATTGGAGGTGTACCTGTGGATGTATTTCAAGGCCTACCTTCAAACTCAGTGCCTCTTTGCTTGACATCATGGGAAAATCAAAAGAAATCAGCCAAGACCTCAGGAAAAATGTTGTAGACCTCCACAAGTCTGGTTCATCCTTGGGAGCAATTTCCAAATGCCTGAAGGTACCACATTCATCTGTACAAACAATAGTACGCAAGTATAAACAACATGGGACCACACATCCATCATACCGCTCAGGAAGGAGACGCATTCTGTCTCCTAGAGATGAACGTACTTTGGTGCGAAAAGTGCAAATCAATCCCAGAACAACAGCAAAGGACCTTGTGAAGATGCTGGAGGAAACGGGTACAAAAGTATCTATATTCACAGTAAAACAAGTCCTATATCGACCTAACCTGAAAGGCCGCTCAGCAACTGCACATGGGGACAAAGATTGTACTTTTTGGAGAAATGTCCTCTGGTCTGATGAAACAAAAATAGAACTGTTTGGCCATAATGACCATCGTTATGTTTGGAGGAAAAAGGGGGTTGCTTGCAAGCCGAAGAACACCATCCCAACCGTGAAGCACGGGGGTGGCAGCATCATGCTGTGGGGGTGCTTTGCTGCAGGAGGGACTGGTGCACTTCACAAAATAGATGGCATCATGAGGAAGGAAAATTATGTAGGATACATTGAGGCAACATCTCAAGACATCAGTCAGGAAGTTAAAGCTTGGTTGCAAATGGGTCTTCCAAATGGACAATGACCCCAAGCATACTTCCAAAGTTGTGGCAAAATGGCATAAGGACAACAAAGTCAAGGTATTGCAGTGGCCATCACAAAGCCCTGACCTCAATCCTATAGAACATTTGTGGGCAGAACTGAAAAAGCGTGTGCGAGCAAGGAGGCCTACAAATCTGACTCAGTTACACCAGCTCTGTCAGGAGGAATGGGCCAAAATTCATCCAACTTATTGTGGGAAGCTTGTGGAAGGCTACCCGAAATGTTTGACCCAAGTTAAACAATTTAAAGGCAATGCTACCAAATACTAATTGAGTGTATGTAAACTTCTGACCCACTGGGAATGTGATGAAATAAATAAAAGCCTAAATAAATCATTCTCTCTACTATTATTCTGACATTTCTCATTCTTAAAATAAAGTAGTGATCCTAACTGACCTAAGACAGGGAATTTTTACTAGGATTAAATGTCAGGAATTGTGAAAAACTGAGTTTAAATGTATTTGGCTAAGGTGTATGTAAACTTCCGACTTCAACTGTATTCTGTATCATTTCTTTATGAGTGTAACCAATGCTGTTTAATGTACTAAACAACATACAGTAGTAGAGTATTCGTATAAGTATTCTGTGTGGTTTACCATGGTTATATTCATTGACGCATACTTACCGCAGTGTATTGGTGACACTCAATACTTTGCACTAACATTACTGCATTGAAGTCCTACTGGTCAGTGACTCGAACTCTTTACATCATTCCATCATATTTTCTGCTATAAAACAAAACATCTGAGAGTGCTACACCAACTGACCAGCCATGCCTGGAAGGTGTCCATCTTCTCCTTTCCGGCCCAAGCCAAGCCCAGTCTTCAGGGAGAGGTCAAGGGTGTATTTTTTGGGGGGGGGCAGGTGGTGCGGCTGTTGGATTGTCTACAGGCCAAGGCTATTGTCCAGAGGATTATCTGGCATCAGATGTTAGACTTTTACAGAGAGGTTACCCTCCTACCCTCCCACCAGACTTATGTGGTGTCATAGACCCTTCCCCTCCCCTCCTCTCCCCTCCCTCTCTACATTCCTCTTCCATACACTGGGTAAAGACTAAAGATGTTGGTATGCACATCTTACTCACGCATACTCACACACTATAACATATCATCTAAACCTACAAGTACAAAAAGAAAACAACAGCTGATGTGGATTTGCTAAAATAATGTGTGAAAAAGGCAAAGAAGGGATGCCAATGTTTATGGTGTCTCATCATGACCAACAGGTGATGGGTGGAGGGAGGCAGACAGAGACAGGTCTATATGGGTTGTTTTATGAGAAATTAGATCATGCAAACATATTTGTTGTTCAAGAAAAATGTGTGTGTGTGTATGTGTGTGTGTGTGTGTGTGTGTGTGTGTGTGTGTGTGTGTGTGTGTGTGTGTGTGTGTGTGTGTGTGTGTGTGTGTATTGGGTTAGAGGATGGGTGGGTTAGCTTTTATGCTTCTGCATCTGTAGGGCTGGGCATCTTCACACTTCAGTGTTAAATCGGTCGGTACAACAGTCCCTAAGCTCCAGCTTATGTCAACAGCAGCTGCACCCAATGGCTCTGGCATCACTCACTGAATAGGGTGAGCTCTTAACAGTTGTCTCATCCTCTGTGTATAGGGTCAGATCCTCTCATGCCTCCAAATCAGTCCATCTTACCAGCAAAGCTAGGGATTTTCCAATTATTGTTCATTTACTTTGACTTACAGTAGCTACAGCATACAACTGTTCTGGTGCCAGTTCGCATTACCATTCAGGCAATAATCATTTTGGTTTATGGTTTCAGTGTTATGAATTGTGCTTCGGTTAAATTAGATCCCAGAACATATGACGCTAATACGTGGGCATTCTGATGTGACTGAATTTACATAGATACAAGGCCAGAGGTCGTTGTTTCTATTTAGTGTTCAACCAGTAGAAAACAGTTACTTAGCAACATAATATGCTGTACATGTATGAATATACACATTTATGTAGTTAACAAACGAAGCACAGTTGTCACTCACCTGTTTGGAATGTTATCACATGTCATTGCTCCACTGGCTAGTCTAAATATGCGTACGTGACAGACGCAGGCTTTTAACATGTGAAACCTAAGAATGCGCCAGAGACCCATTACGTAATGGATTTCAATGGGACCACCAAAGAAGGAGAGGATCTCCCCCACTTTAGGGAATACACAGTGCTCCTATTTCAGATTAAGTGCACACCACTTTGAAAATAGTTACCATCTCTCAATATTGTCACTTTGCAACGGTTACGCAACCACACCATGGAAATAAAGATTAACATTGCTTTGGACCTAGATGTTTGACATTGAACATTTATTTCCATTGTCGAAACGTTTTGACACACACATCCACTCACACACACAGAGACAGAATCAGTCACACACATTGATTACAAAGATTTGAACGAAAGAGGGGACAAAAGATATTCAGATCAGCGACATCTTGAATTCTGCAACAGAGAGAGACACCTGTCATTTCACTTTCCCTACTTCATCAGTTTGAACATGTTGATTGCCGACTCAGGGTGCAGGCAAAAAGGTAATGTACTTCACAGTTAAGATGCTGTACTCACTTGATCATTCACCCAGCCATGATGTGTTTCACAAAGGCTGAAATAGAGAGATAGAAACAGAGGCTGTATTAACATTAGGTGGGAACCAGTAGGTTTCCTCAGCACACTGCATAAAGTAGTATGTTGCCGCACCTTCGTAGTTAATGCAGCCGTTGCCATCCTCTTGTCCTTCCATCACGACCTCTATCTCTTTCTCTGTCATCTTCTCTCCTGCAAGTGTAACGGTAGGGGTGTAAGACATTTCAAATGGTGTTAAACACTCCTCACAGACACAACCCTTACGGAAAAAAAACACATGAATTTCACATGTGATCATATGTGTTTCACATGTGATCTCACATAATTACATGTGATCACGTGATCTTATGTGAAGTTAATGTGATAACTACACATGTGAAAACATTTCAGCACGTGAAAACATGAGAAATAAATGTGACAACATGAGGATGCAAAATTTCAACATGTGATACCATGAAACTATATAAATATATGTAAAATATATGTAAAACTGAAAATTTGATTTTCTCATGTGAAAATTAAATTCCACATGTGAGAGTTAGGTTTTCACATGTGAACGTTTTTCAAATGTGAAAGTTTTTCACATTTTTCACATCTACATTTTTAATACATGTGAACACAACTGACCTCACATGTGTCTCTTTTGCTTTCACATGTGAACATTTCAGCTCAACATGTGAAAACAGCTATTTCAACTGTGAAAATGCGATTCTCATATGTGAAACTGCAGATTTCACATGTTTTCTTTCTAAGAGAAGTAATGATCATCAATGAGCTTGACGCCTTGATAAGTTCATTTCCTGAGGATGGCTCACCCCTCACAGTTTTGGGGGATTTCAACCTCCCTACGTCTACATTTGACTCATTTCTCTCTGCCTCCTTCTTTCCACTCCTCTCCTCTTTTGAACTCACCCTCTCACCGTCCCCCCCTACTCACAAGGCAGGCAATACGCTTGACCTCATCTTTACTAGATGCTGCTCTTCTACTAATCTCACTGCAACTCCCCTCCATGTCTCCGACCACTACTTTGTATCCTTTTCTCTCTCGCTCTTCTCCAACACTACTCACTCTGCCCCTACACAGATGGTAATGCGCCGCCGCAACCTTCGCTCTCTCTCTCCCACTACTCTCTCCTCTACCATCCTATCATCTCTTCCCCCTGCTCAAACCTTCTCCCTCCAATCTCCTGATTCTGCCTCCTCAACCCTCCTCTCCTCCCTTTCTGCATCCTTTGACTCTCTGTGTCCCCTATCCTCCCGGCCGGCTCGGTCCTCCCCTCCAGCTCCGTGGCTTGATGACTCATTGCGAGCTCACAGAACAGAGCTCCGGGCAGCTGAGCGGAAATGGAAGAAAACTAGACTACCTGCGGACCTGGCATCTTTTCACTCCCTCCTCTCTACATTTTCTTCATCTGTTTCTGCTGCTAAGGCCACTTTCTACCACTCTAAATTCCAAGCATCTGCCTCTAACCCTAGGAAGCTCTTTGCCACATTCTCCTCCCTGCTGAATCTTGTGACTTGTGACTGCAGGCCGCCCAACAACCTGCCCGCTTGACCCCATCCCCTCCTCTCTTCTCCAGACCATCTCCGGTGACCTTCTCCCCTACCTCACCTCGCTGATCAACTCATCCTTGACCGCTGGCTATGTCCCTTCCGTCTTCAAGAGAGCGAGAGTTGCACCCCTTCTCAAAAAACCAACATTCGATCCCTCTGATGTCAACAACTACAGACCAGTATCCCTTCTTTCTTTTCTTTCCAAAACTATTGAGCGTGCCGTCTTTAGCCAACTCTCTTGCTATCTCTCTCAGAATGACCTTCTTGATCCAAACCAGTCAGGTTTCAGGACTGGTCATTCAACTGAGACTGCTCTTCTCTGTGTCAAGGAGGCTCTCCGCACTGCTAAAGCTAACTCTCTCTCCTCTGCTCTTGTCCTTCTAGACCTGTCTGCTGCCTTTGATACTGTGAACCATCAGATCCTCCTCTCCACCCTCTCCGAGCTGGGCATCTCCGGCGCGGCTCACTCTTGGATTGCATCCTACCTGACCGGTCGCTCCTACCAAGTGGCGTGGCGAGAAGCTGTCTCCGCACCACGTGCTCTCACCACTGGTGTCCCCCAGGGCTCAGTTCTAGGCCCTCTCCTATTCTCGCTATACACCAAGTCACTTGGCTCTGTCATATCCTCACATGGCCTCTCCTATCATTGCTACTCTGACGATACACAACTAATCTTCTCCTTTCCCTTCTGATAACCAGGTGGCGAATCGCATCTCTGCATGTCTGGCAGACATATCAGTATGGATGACGGATCACCACCTCAAGCTGAACCTTGGCAAGACGGAGCTGCTCTTCCTCCCGGGGAAGGACTGCCCGTTCCATGATCTCGCCATCACGGTTGACAACTCCGTTGTGTCCTCCTCCCAGAGTGCGAAGAGCCTTGGCGTGACCCTGGACAACACCCTGTCGTTCTCCGCTAACATCAAGGCGGTGACCCGATCCTGCAGGTTCATGCTCTACAACATTCGGAGAGTACGACCCTGCCTTACACAGGAAGCGGCACAGGTCCTAATCCAGGCACTTGTCATCTCCCGTCTGGATTACTGCAACTCGCTGTTGGCTGGGCTCCCTGCCTGTGCCATTAAACCCCTACAACTCATCCAGAATGCCGCAGCCCGTCTGGTGTTCAACCTTTCCAAGTTCTCTCACGTCACCCCGCTCCTCCGCACACTCCACTGGCTTCCAGTTGAAGCTCGCATCTGTTACAAGACCATGGTGCTTGCCTGTGGAGCTGTGAGGGAAACGGCACCTCCGTACCTTCAGGCTCTGATCAGTCCCTTCACCCAAACGAGGGCATTGCGTTCATCCACCTCTGGCCTGCTGGCTCCCCTTCCTCTGCGGAAGCATAGTTCCCGCTCAGCCCAGTCAAAACTGTTCGCTGCTCTGGCACCCCAATGGTGGAACAAGCTCCCTCACGACGCCAGGACAGCGGAGTCACTCAGCACCTTCCGGAGACATTTGAAACCCCACCTCTTTAAGGAATACCTGGGATAGGATAAAGTAATCCTTCTACCCCCCCCCCCCCCCCCCCCCCCCCCTAAAAATAAATAAAAATAAAATAAAAAATAATAATATTAATAATGATTTATAAATAAAATATATACAAATATATAAAAAAAAAAAAAAAAAATTGTAAGATGGTTATCCCACTGGCTATAGGGTGAATGCACCAATTTGTAAGTCGCTCTGGATAAGAGCGTCTGCTAAATGACGTAAATGTAAATGTAAATGTTAAGGTAAGTGGTACGCTGTTCAGCTAAAATAGTGTAAACATCTATAACCAATGACAATATGAATCTATTTGACATGATTCCTTTGTACTGACTTTTCAATATGACCCCAACTGGGATTTGAATTCAGAACCTCTGGATTTAGGTTATCTTTCTGCTGCGCTACAAAGTCTGTAACATGCTCAGAAGTTCAGCAATTTGAGGGTTTTCTGTATAGTCTAATGTTGGTGTGTCATATTATTCTGTTTTAATGTTACTCCTCAATCACTATGATAAATATAATAGTTTTTCTTGAGTGTATTTTTAACAAAGCTGAGATTTACTTTAATGTCCAAAGTGTAGGAATACAGGTGAAATCAGTCATTGACACAGAAATGGTGGCATAGCAAAAAAGTCTGAATGCAGAACCAAGAGGTTGTGAGTCCAAATCCCAGGTGAGGACATGTTGAATAATAATTACTGTATAAATAAACGTACACATTATAATAATGTATGCCAAAGTGTGCCAAATATGTAAATTGAAAATATTCTGACTGCGTGACTTTCCGGGGACTGATTTCTGTGAAATCTTATGTGAAGAATATAGAGAACTGAGAACATTTTAATCCACATGTGAAAGGTTATCGGATCACGTGAAAATCACTTGAAATTTCATATGTTAAATAAAATGTTACATGTGGAATCAAGGGAAGCCAAACCCCAAACCAATCCTCCTTTCAGATACCCTTACGGGTTTCACATTAACTTCATAGAGCATACATTACACATCTATAATCACGTCATAAACATGAGATTATAGCTACATAGAACATGGGCACTAACCAAGAGTTGCGAGTGCGTGACGCAGCTCGGCACCCATGACGGTGCTGTTGCCCTCCTTGTCAAAGACACGCAGTCCTTCCACAAAGTCCTCAAAGGTACCCCGGTTCTTGGACTTGGATATGTGCTGGAACATTGGTAGGAAGATCTCAAAGCCGATCAGCTTGGTGTTCATTTCTATAGTGGCACAGTGAGCAAGGGAAGGCGTTACAATCAACCCATCAACATACAGCCTCTACAGAGCTCAAGGTGAATGAAGAGATAACGGAAAGTAGGAGAAACATGGTGACTTAAGCAATGGTGTGGCCATGCACGTGTTCAAAGGCTGAGAAAATGATTGATGCCTATGTCTGTGTGAACATGTAACCAGTGACCACTACTACTATACAATGTCTATAGAATACTGGTGTGCCACTGACCCTGTGGCTTGGGTTTCCCTAGGACTCTCATGACTTCTTCATTGGAAGGGTTCTGGCCCAGCGCCCTCATCACATCACCACACTGGGCGTAAGAGATCTTCATCTCGCTTTTGGGGGTCCTGTCGAAAAGCATGAAGGCCTCTTTGAACTCTGGGAAAGAACACAGATCATCAGGGTTAGCTGGGGAAACTAGCAAGCCATCAACAGGTCAGGTCATCCAATACACTTTCCCTATAACAAATAGTAAAATGTACATCAAAGATTTTTTAAAGCAAGATCAGTTTACCGTCAATTTGGTCTGCAGTGAACTCAATCTGAAATAGAAAAAAAGAACACTTCAATAGTGGGAATAATGCTGCTGATTTTGCCCAGCTCATCATTGTAAGCACATTTAGCAATTGTATTATGAAGGATGAGGTGCATCCGAGGCGCATACTATGTACATGACATGGGGGGAGTTCTTTGAAGACCTCCAAGGTCAGCTGTGGACACCCCATTTGTGTCTCTAAGAGTAACAGGGCCCCCTAGTTTCAAGATGGTGGGCTTCGTGTGAAACCTAATTCTCCTCCACTGTCCCCGGGGCCAACACAGGCGAATATAAGAACAATGGGGAGGAAAAGTTCCAACTGGGGACCCGTTAGAAAGGCTGTTCTAGAACCCCAGAGAGACAGAAGAATGCAGATGAATCCGGGTGTAGCACATCTCTGGCACCAAATACCAGCCCAGTTTGTCTTTTATCATCCCTGAGAAAAACAACCTGACGAGGAACCAGTTACAGTTATGGGTTGAAATGTTATTCGTCCATTGAAAGAGCATGTTGGGAACATAAAACAGTTCTATGAACTGTTTGCTCGATCCAGTCGCTGGAAAGTTTTGTTGGATGTGTGCCACTACGCCAACAAGTCTTTGATCGTACGATGAATGTCAGTTGCCAAAGCCAAAGGAACAGAAAATGAAAAAAATACATAATTGATTAGGAACCCCTTATAATATACTTTGATTCACCTCCAACATAATCTCATTCAGATTCAACAGTTACTGTACCAAGCAGAGATGGTTTAATGATCTGAACATAACTAACCTGAAAGGTTATTACATCACTGAAAATGTCAAATCCTTTGCAGAGGATAGCCATGCCAAGAAACTAATACAACAACGGGTTTTTCACTAGACATACTTCCCTGAACAAATAACACAGCTTTAACTCGTCAACTAAAGATGGCATCCTCCTCTCTCATACTTAATGTCATTAGTTCCACTACAAACACAGGTGGATGAGAGGAGATGACAGCAAAGACTCGCAGAGAGGTTAGACCATAGAATTACAACATACAATCTATTTTCTATGAGTTGGACACTCACCGCAATGCTTTGGGGGTCAAATTCGGGCTCCTTGGGCTTCTCTGGCTCCGGAGCCGGTGGGGTCGATTTTGCAGCCTCCTTCTTCGGCTCGGGCTTCTTGGGGGCCATTCTCCTGGTTGGGAAAGTGTGTGAGGGAGAGTGTGTGTGTCGAGGTGGAGGCTGAGAGAGGACAATCTCTGGAAGAGTTATATACCCAGCTTGGGGTTCCCCACTGAGACAGAGGGGTTGGCTTAGCCAACAGGAGCTAGGATAACATTCTATATAAGGGTAAAAATACAGTCTTCAGGATAGAACTTCACAAGACTTCCCTGAAGAACCTGTGGCATGGAATTCATCTACGCAGTCATCTACATGGCTACTAAGACATCATCAGGGTTCTCTCTCTCATAATGGCCAATATTATCAGCACTCAGGTCCCAGTCGACGCTTAACTATTTAGCACATCAGTTGTGACATGTCGCCAGTCAAGGGTTAAGGGCTTAGGTGGGTTTTAAGTATTATTTTCCTCTCAGTATGTTTGTCGGGTATGGAGGAAGGGGTCTTTTTATAGATGCTTAAACTATCTTTCTCTCTTAACTTAGTTGCCCACAAATCCCAAAGAAGAGAGAGAGGGAGAGAGGGGGAAGGCCTGATGGCTGTTTGGGGTTGGAGAGGGGGAGACTTGTGTGAGGGCAGTGAAAACAGATGCAGGGTCTGAACAGCTGACTAAGGAAGGAGGAGGGAGACACTGATGATGAGGAAAGGAATGGCCTGGCTGTCAGTGTGCTCAGTGAACTGGAATGAACTGACTGAGCTCTTGGCCTAGTAGGCACTGAAGTATAACAATTAGAATGAGCTAGACTCTACAGTTACTGTACATACACAGTAAATATGTTGACTCTCATGACGTACTATATTACACAGTGTTATGTCATGTCTTTGGATAATAAAATGCGCTGTAGGCCTATATGGGGTGTCGGTGAAGATTACGAGAACACTATCAAAACATACCATGGTGACTCTGAAAAAGCAACCACTACCCTCAGATGCTTTGTTAACCTCTGCCTGGAGCCCTTCAACACCCAGGGCCTTCCCACCCTCTAAATACAGTTTAACAAGAGGAGCCTGCAGCAGCCACCTGCTAGAGTGTCCCCTTGCATAGCTTCCTTCCTCAGGCTGTGGAGGGTCTGGGTCATCCCCACTAGTCCCTTCCAGAAGCCTCCAGTAAGAGGTAGCAGCACTCGCTGCCTTGGAGTAGTCTGCAGCAATACACTAAAAAGATGAAGAACTCCTGCACTATACTGTAGGTCAACTTTGCTGCCACATCTGGGAAACTGTGTACTGCTACTTCCAGTTCATCCATGTTACAGAGAAGGCATTCAATCTAATTCCCTCAACTAGAGCAGCAACACAGTCTTTGAGTAACTCCTCTGTAGGGGGGTAATATTTATCATATATGATATTATATATATCTTACATGTGACTCATAATAAGACGGCAATTAGCCTATTAAGATGTTTATCTGACTCTATAAAGATAATTAAAATATGTAAGAGACTACAGTTGAGTTACAGTAATAGGCTATCAAGAAATGTCTGAGAATGGAATTCTAAAAACAAGTGTTTTTAATTAATTTGTAAAAATGAATGATTACAGTATCAAGGATAACCTACAAAGCATTATATAGGCTTGCTTCTACCTATCTCTCCTATTTGGTCCTGCCGTACATACCTACACGTACGCTACGGTCACAAGACGCAGGCCTCCTTATTGTTCCTAGAATTTCTAAGCAAATCGCTGGAGGAATTTCTCCTACAGAACTCCATTTTTATGGAATGGTCTGCCTATCCATGTGAGAGACGCAGACTCGGTCTGTACCTTTAAGTCTTTACTGAAGACTCATCTCTTCAGTAGGTCCTATGATTGAGTGTAGTCTGGCCCAGGGGTGAGAAGGTGAACGGCAAGGCACTGGAGCGACAAACCGCCCTTTCTGTCTTTCTGCCTGGCCGGCTCCCCTCTCTCCACTGGGATTCTCTGCCTCTGACCCTATTACGGGGGCTGAGTCACTGGCTTACTAGTGCTCTTCCATGCCATCCCTAGGAGGGGTGCGTCACTTGAGTGGGTTGAGTCACTGACGTGATCTTCCTGTCCGGCTTTTATATCTGGTGTTATTCTCCTGTCTTTTCCGGTGTCCTGTGTGAATTTAAGTATGCTCCCTCTGATTCTCTCTCTCCCTCCCCTCCCGGAGGACCTGAGCCCTAGGACCATGCCTCAGGACTACCTGGCCTGATGACTCCTTGTTGTCCCCAGTCCACCTGGTCGTGCTGCTGCACCAGTTTCAACTGTTCTGCCTGCGGCAATGGAAGCCTGACCTGTTCACCGGACGTGCTATCTTGTCCCGGACCTGCTGTTTTCAACTCTCTCTCTCTCTCTATCTCTCTACCGCACCTGCTGTCTCGACCTCTGAATGCTCTTATATGAAAATCCAACTGACATTTACTTATGAGGTACTGACCTGTTGCACTGTGTGACATCCGCTGATGTAAAAAGGGCTTTATAAATACATTAGATTTATTGATTGATAAGTTTAAGTTACAAAACAAGCAATGCAAGGCATTACTCTAGGCATGATCAGACAGGGAGAGACAAGGACAGACAAGGACAGACAAGTCATAGCCTGAAAGGCCCTTAAAGTCCCTGGGGTGGAGAGAGAAAGAAAGAGAGAAAGTATCTCACCAGCACAGGTCAGGAACAAGAAAGAGACAATAAACCTGGGACCCTTTATTACATCTGAGTTGTTTGGCCTCAAAATCTGAGTTGTTGACCAATAAATAGTATTAGTGTAAAGTTTACCTCCAATCAGATATCAGACCTACAGACTTCTAAAGACAACAGAACCTCTGCTTCTCAGAGGTGTGACAATGGGAGTTGGCAAGAGCCACACAGAAAATGCTTGCATACAGTGTAGAGTCACTTCGGGGGCTGGGTCACCCTACCACTCTCCCTCTCTTTTGCAGATTCACGTATGCAGCAGTAGCCTACTCCATACAAACTGACGCTGTATTCCAACAGGCATACTTTGCATGGCTTTTCTCGATTGTGTCCTTCATGTAGCCCTCTCTTCTGAGGGACCTGAGTTCATATCAGTTCGGACCTAGTATCTAGGTGTGTGGCAGTACAATTAGACTATGTGGTCTGTAAATAGGCAGCCTGTGGAATTGTGTGTGGACTGTGTGGGCCTAACCATAAATAAAATACTGCAGTGCCTCAACGCTCCACCTAGTAGGTAAGATACCCCTTAAGAATATGTGACATCGGTCTTATGTAGCAAAATTTGAAATGGTGTGTTTTACATTGGATAAAAGTAGAGACTCAGATCTACAAAATGGTATATCATACACTACAGTTGAGGAACAATGGGAAAGTAATTTTGCTTTGAAAGTTGATAAACCTGTAAACTAACTTTTGAGAAAATCTTTTGGTACTTCAACTGGAGAGCCCTTCTTTGTCTACACCCATTCAGCATCGTTCACACCCTCTTAAGCTTTAGCCCCACCCATCTCTTTAAGGGTTGATCCCAGCGTTCTGTACTAACAACAGAAGTCAAGCACCCAAGCTAACTTGCTAGCTACTTCCAGACACAAATGGCAGAACAGCCCACTGAACATTACTCGCCCTAGCAGAGCTGGTTAGGCTGTTATGTTATCCAGAGCGTTGGTGACTGTAACTGTGCTGCTGGCAACAATTTAGTTTTTTTTAATAGTTTTTTTTGCCAACGTTTACTGACACCGGTCATATTCAACCGGTGTTGAGTGTTCGTAAATTCATCAGTTATTCTGCGCTCTGGCACACTCAGACGAGAGTGCCCTGAAATCGGAGTAGATAGCCAGAGTGAATTTACTCTGGTCTCAGCTCTGCGTTGTTTTTATTATTAACATTATTATTTTATTAAAACAATACAATACAAAGACAATACAAATTTCCGCTCCAATCAGTGGGTGCTCTGGTCAGTGGACGCCGGCAGGGCGAAGCCCCCTGCCCCCGGCCCAAAGGGCTGTGTTCTTGCCATCTGGGTGAAAATCCAACAGGCTTTGAGTTCCCCCTTTGGAGAGAACTTGAAGGCCTTGGAATCCCCCTTCACTGTCCTACCAATCAGGTTTGCAGATTAGAACTACTCTGTTGGTTAGAATGACATTACTCACTGCAGTGTTCTTGTGGCAGCTTTGATGGACAGAGGGACAGCATCACTCTGATATTTGACCTCTAACCTCGCGTGAGAGAGGACAGTTTAATTTTATACCCATTGTTTTCTCTATGGTATGCTCATGTCCTACCCTAAACCCTAATGTTAACCCCTCCCCTTCCCTTACACTAACCTTAACCATAACCCTTAATCATGGTAGCATCTACATTAATGTAGAAGTGTTTAGAAACATATTTTTTAGTCTTATTTACAATTATTTACAATTTACAATAAAAGTGACTCCAAAATGACACAATACATTATTTACCATTCATTTCTATTGGGCACAAAATAATCTGAAAAACAACCAGAACAAACAGCAAATGCATCCAATATGTTTGTAGAGTCACAAGCTTGATGTAATCATTGCGTGCTAGGAATATGGGACCAAATACTAAACTTTTGACTACTTTAATACACATATAAGTGAATTTGTCCCAATACTTTACAAAAAGTGCAGTCATTTCTAAATGGTTCACCCGATATGGATGAAAATACCCTCAAATGAAAGCTGATAGTCTGCACTTTAACCTCATAGTAATTGTATAATTTCATCCAAAGTGCTGGAGTACAGAGGCAAAACAAACAAAACGTCCCAATACTTTTGGAGCTCACTGTATTTGTACAACTCAAAGATCTTCAAGTACAACGTACAGGTTCTGCCAAAATAAAGGAAACACTTGAGTAAATGAGGGAAACAAAGTATATATTGAAAGCAAGTGCTTCATGAGTTAATTAAGCAATTAACATCCCATCATGCTTAGGGCCATGTATAAAAATGGCTAGTTGCCAATTATTTTGGCTACCATGGCCAGAAGAAGAGATCTCAGTGACTTTGAAAGAGAGGTCTCAAAGGAGCATAGGGGGTTTAAAGAGTGTGTGTTTGTCATCAGATCTCAATCCAATACTTATGGAATTTCTCATGGAAGAATGTTGTCGCATCCCTCCAATAGTTCCAGACATTTTTGTCATTTAGCAGACACTCTTATCCAGAGCAACTTACAGTTAGTGAGTGCATACATTATTTATATTTTTCATACTGGCCCCCCGTGGGAATCAAACCCACAACCCTGGCGTTGCAAATGCCATGCTCTACCAACTGAGCTACATCCCTGCCGGCCATTCCCTCCCCTACCCTGGGCCAATTGTGCGCCGCCC